CATTGGGTGCTACTACCAAAGCTGCCCAGCAGGGGAAGCCAAGGTCTTCCATTCCAGCAAATTATTGACGGCCTCCATTGCTCACTCTACCGCAGGCAACCCTAAGATGGATCCGCGCGACTCCTCTCCAAGGACCCTCCCAGAAAACAGTTGACAACCCCGAAGGAAGTATGGGTGGAGATGGAGAGAATGAGAAGGCTAGAGAAAAAGACACACGAATGGTTGCCAGAGTGGTGCATGCTCTAGTTATCTCCCGCTTGGACTACTGCAGTGCGTTCTACGTGGGGCTACCTTTGAAGGTGACCCGGAAACTGCAATTAATCCAGAATGCGACAGCTAGACTGGTGACTTGGAGCGGCCGCTGAGACCACATAACACCAGTCCTGAGAGATCTGCATTGGCTCCCAATATGTTCCCGAGCACAATTCAAAGTGTTGGTGCTGACCTTGAAAGCCCTAAACGGCCTCGGTCCTGTATACCTGAAGGAGCGTCTCCACCCCCATCGCTTAGCCTGGACACTGATATCCAGCGCCGAGGGCCTTCTGGTGGTTCCCTCATTGCGAGAAGTGAGGTTACAGGGAACCAGACAGAGGGCCTTCTCGGTGGTGGCGCCCGCCCTGTGGAACGCCCTGCCACCAGATGTGAAGGAAATGAGCAGCTATCTTCTCTTTAAAAGACATCTGAAGGCAGCCCTTTTTAGGGAAGTTTTTAATATTTAATGCTGTATTGTTTTTAACACTTGATTGGAAGCTGCCCAGGGTGACTGGGGAAACTCAGCCAGATGGGCGGGGTATAAATAAATTATTATTATTATTATTATTATTATTATTATTGCAAATGATGCCAGTTAAACAGGGGCGAGAGAAGGCAGGTGTGTGGGATGCTGGATGTTGTCTGATGTCGTGCAAAAGAACCTCGTGCGTCCGAAGTGGCAATTGGGATGCATATATTCAGTTGCATATATACATCCCAGTAGTGATGTATGGAAGTGAGAGCTGGACCATAAAGAAGGCTGATCGCCGAAGAATTGATGCTTTTGAATTATGGTGCTGGAGGAGACTCTAGAGTCCCATGGACTGCAAGAAGATCAAACCTCTCCATTCTTAAGGAAATCAGCCCTGAGTGCTCACTGGAAGGACAGATCCTGAAGCTGAGGCTCCAAGACTTTGGCCACCTGGTGAGAAGAGAAGACTCCCTGGAAAAGACCCTGATGTTGGGAAAGATGGAGGGCACAAGGAGAAGGGGACGACAGAAGATGAGATGGTTGGACAGTGTTCTCGACGCTACCAGCATGAGTTTGACCAAACTGCGGGAGGCAGTGGAAGACAGGAGTGCCTGGCGTGCTCTGGTCCATGGGGTCATGAAGAGTCGGACACGACTTAACGACAAAACAACAACATATTCAGTCGCTCTGATTTCATAGAACCATAGAGGTAGAAGGTCTTTCAAAGGTCATCTGAGCTAGCCTTCCCCAGCCTGGTGGCCTCCAGATGTTTGGAATTACAACTCCCATTGGATGATGGGAGTTGTAGTCCAAAACAGCTGGAGAGTGCCAGATTAGAATCATAGAATGAACCCAGCTTCCTCTCCCTGCTGCAGCAAAAAGCACTCCTCTTTTTCCAAGCCCTGCCTCAATGCAGTAAGGGTTGCCAACTTTTTAAGCTGGTTTCGCTCCTGCGCCTTTCACCGCCCAGCCCAAATTAAGCAACCGATTGATTGGTTGTATCTATACCCCGCCCTTCCTCCCCAAGGAGCCCAGGGCGGCCAAAGGATCTGCAATCCAAAGACAAAAACAAAGCACGAACCGTCTAAGACGGTTAAAACAATCCAATAACAATAAAGCCATATCTAAAACCAGCTGCAGCTTGAAAACAGTCTCAGTTACAGTTAAAAATATCCACCCATCCGAGTTGCCAGGAACTGTAATAATTCCCTCGCACATTGTCTCAACATCAGGAAAAGGCTTGCCTGCAAAATCCCTGTGCCTTGGGCTGCCTTTAAAGGCAAAAAAGCTGGTCCGGTCCGAAAAGGTGGCAATCCTACTCACACATTGCCCAGCTTCCCAGCCAACCGAGAAGGGCCAGGGCTGGCTCAATGCTATTTGCTGCCTGAGGCTGAGGATACGACGCTACCTATGGACTACTGCAATGTGCTCTACGTGGGGCTACCTTTGAAGGTGACCCGGAAACTGCAATTAATCTAGAATGCGGCAGCTAGACTGGTGACTGGGAGTGGCTGCCGAGACCATATAACACTGGTCCTGAGAGATCTGCATTGGCTCCCAGTACGTTTCCGAGCACAATTCAAAGTGTTGGTGCTGACCTTGAAACGGCCTCGGCCCAGTATACCTAAAGGAGCGTCTCCACCCCCATCGTTCAGCCCGGACACTGAGATCCAGCGCCGAGGGCCTTCTGGTGGTTCCCTCATTGCGAGAAGTGAGGTTACACTGAACCAGACAGAGGGCCTTCTCGGTGGTGGCGCCCGCCCTGTGGAACGCCCTCCCATCAGATGTGAAGGAAATAAGCAGCTATCTTCTCTTTAAAAGACATCTGAAGGCAGCCCTGTTCAGGGAAGTTTTAAATATTTAACGCTGTACTGTTTTTAACACTTGATTGGGAGCTGCCCAGAGTGGCTGGGGAAACTCAGCCAGATGGGCGGGGTATAAATAATAAATTATTATTATTATTATTATTATTATTATTATTATTATTATTATTATACCTCTTTCTTGTCCCGTGGAAGGCCAGGAAACAGGGTGGCAGCAGAGCCCTTGTAGGCCTTCAGCCGCCCTCTGCTTCTCCCCAGCTGTCAGTTTTTGCCGCCTGAGGCAGTTGCCTCCCTCTGGCTAATGGCAGCGCCGGCCCTGAGGCCAGGCAAGTTGGCCAACTCCTCCTCCCTGTAGTTAAGAACATCAGAAAAACCTGCCGAATCAGGCCAGTGGCTCACCTAGTCATAGAAACATAGAATTGTAGAGTTGGAAGGGAGCACATGGGTCATCTATTTTTTTAAAAAAAATTTATTCATTTTTCTTTTTCATTCATCACATACACCTCATATTCATAACATTTACTATGCCTGCCTCCCTCCTTCCCCTCCTAGGGTTCCCTTTACCTATAGTGGTTAAGAGCGGTGGACTCGTAATCTGGTGAACCGGGTTCGCTTCCCCGCTCCTCCACATGCAGCTGCTGGCTGACCTTGGGCCAGTCACACTTCTCTGAAGTCTCTCAGCCCCACTCACCTCACAGAGTGTTTATTGTGGGGGAGGAAGGGGAAGGAGAGTGTTAGCCGCTTTGAGACTCCTGAAGGGGAGTGAAAGCACCTAGAAAGCACCTGTGAGCACCTAGAAAGGAATGCTGTGATCACCAATAGTCAGCATGGATTTCTGAAAAATAAGTCATGTCAGACTAACCTGATCTCGTTTTTTGACAGAATTACAAGCCTGGTAGATGAAGGGAACGCAGTGGATGTAGCCTACCTTGATTTCAGCAAGGCATTTGACAAGGTGCCCCATGATATTCTTGTAAAGAAGCTGGTAAAATGCGGTCTTGACTATGCTACCACTCAGTGGATTTGTAACTGGCTGACTGACCGAACCCAAAGGGTGCTCATCAATGGTTCCTCTTCATCCTGGAGAAGAGTGACTAGTGGGGTGCCACAGGGTTCTGTCTTGGGCCCGGTCTTATTCAACATCTTTATCAACGACTTGGATGATGGACTCAAGGGCATCCTGATCAAATTTGCAGATGACACCAAACTGGGAGGGGTGGCAAACACCCCAGAGGACAGGATCACACTTCAAAACGACCTTGACAGTTTAGAGAACTGGGCAAAAACAAACAAGATGAATTTTAACAGGGAGAAATGTAAAGTATTGCACTTGGGCAAAAAAAATGAGAGGCACAAATACAAAATGGGGGACACCTGGCTTGAGAGCAGTACATGTGAAAAGGATCTAGGAGTCTTGGTTGACCACAAACTTGACATGAGCCAACAGTGTGACGCGGCAGCTAAAAAAGCCAATGCAATTCTAGGCTGCATCAATAGGAGTATAGCATCTAGATCAAGGGAAGTAATAGTGCCACTGTATTCTGCTCTGGTCAGACCTCACCTGGAGTACTGTGTCCAGTTCTGGGCACCACAATTCAAGAAGGACACTGACAAACTGGAACGTGTCCAGAGGAGGGCAACCAAAATGATCAAAGGCCTGGAAACGATGCCTTATGAGGAACGGCTAAGGGAGCTGGGCATGTTTAGCCTGGAGAAGAGGAGGTTAAGGGGTGATATGATAGCCATGTTCAAATATATAAAGGGATGTCACATAGAGGAGGGAGAAAGGTTGTTTTCTGCTGCTCCAGAGAAGCGGACACGGAGCAATGGATCCAAACTACAAGAAAGAAGATTCCACCTAAACATTAGGAAGAACTTCCTGACAGTAAGAGCTGTTCGACAGTGGAATTTGCTGCCAAGGAGTGTGGTGGAGTCTCCTCCTTTGGAGGTCTTTAAGCAGAGGCTTGACAACCATATGTCAGGAGTGCTCTGATGGTGTTTCCTGCTTGGCAGGGGGTTGGACTCGATGGCCCTTGTGGTCTCTTCCAACTCTAGGATTCTATGATTCTATGATTCTATGAAAGGCGGGATATCAAATCCAAACTCTTCTTCTTCTCCTTCTCCTCATGAACTTGTCTGAGCCTCGTTTAAAGCCCTCCAAGTTGGCGGCCATCGCTGCCCCCCGAGGGAGCAAGTCCCGTACTTCGTTGCAAATTCTTACGGTCTGGTTGTGGTTAAATGACTTAAGTTCCTGTTACTAGGCAGCCCTGGGGAGCCTGCAGCAAACTTTCCTCTGGATTGCATTAGGGCAGGTGGCTGGGTGGGGGCTCTGTCTGTATAATAAGGAATGAGTCTCGCTGATGGGGAAAGCTCTCGTGCCTTTAGTCAGCAGACAACCCAGTTTGCAGTCATTGAAGGAAGGAGAGAGAGAGAGAGAGAGAGAGAGAGAGAGAGAGAGAGAGAGATAGAAATAAGCGTGGGAGTCTGGTTGGGAAAAAAGAAAGCTATCAGCACCCATTGGGTGGGTAGGCCAAGCCCCACCCACCCTGTCCCTCCCCAGTCCCCGCCTGCCTACTTGAGTCGAAAGCTACTCCCTTACGAGCTCATGACAGCTCAGATGTTCACCCACGCAAAGCCGGCAGAAGCCAGACACACTTTCGACGCTGGGCGACTCACTCGGAAGCAAGCAGACTTCTTCGCACCCAGCCAGGGATGGGATGGGGCAGGCTCCGTCCTCAGATACACCAGCCCAGAGTTGTCACATCTGGGAACTCCTGAGCTGCAGAGGAAACAGAGCCTCGGACGCCTCTGCCTCGGCTTAGCCCCTCTTCCTGCTCTCTGACATTTCTAGAGCTGGGAGGAACAGAACCCAGAACCATCCACGCAGTCCTTTTTGGAGGGATCCCAGCTCCACCTGCTTTAGCCAGGGGGCATGACCTTGTCCTGACCCTAACCCCGGAACACCGGCTGGATTCTTGCTCCGTAATCTGCTGGACCCTGATGTCTTCTTTCACAGCTTCTGGGAACAGGACTCCAGGCTCGCCTGTTGCGACGAGGGGCTGCCCTCCAACGTGAATTAATTGGGGATTGAAAGCAGCAGGAGGAGAAGGATCTGAACCCACCATCCGCCTCCTTCCTTCTCGGAACTCTGAGGCCTCACATCTGAGAACAAGAAGTCCCAAAGCTTCCCCCTTTCTCCTCTGAGACCTCCAGCCCCCTCTCCATGCCAATGCAAGCGCCGCAAGCAAACCTGACCCCTCCGGAGGACTGCAGCAGCCTGACCCGACTGCAGAAGGACGGCAACCCGGGAATGAGCTCCTTCATGTTTGCAGCAGGGGTGGTGGGCAACATGGCCGCCCTGGCCATCTTGGGCTTCCACCGGAAGGAGCTGCGGACCAAGAGCTCAGCCTTCTGCATCCTGGTGACTGGCCTGGCCATCACGGACCTGCTGGGCACATGCGTGGTCAGCCCCGTGGTCTTTGTGGCCTATTCGCGAAACGCCACCGTGCTGGGCCTGGCGGACGGAAGGAACTGGCTGTGCAACCTCTTTGCCTTCTCGATGATGTATTTTAGCCAAGCGGCCATGCTTATTCTCTGCACCATGGCGGTGGAGCGGTGCCTAGCTATCAGCTACCCCTATTTCTACTCACAGCACAACATCCGCCGGTGGGCTAAGCTCTCTCTGCCCGCCACCTACGCCTTCAGTGCCCTCTTCTGCGCTCTGCCCTTCCTGGGCGTTGGGAAGTACAAGCAGTACTGCCCGGGCACCTGGTGCTTTGTCCAGATGGACGTGGAGCTGACGGGGGGCGACCGCAGCAAGGCGGCCTTCTCGCTGTCCTACGCCACCCTGATGGCGCTGCTGATCCTCGCCATCTTCGTCTGCAACGGCCTGGTCATCATCAGCCTCTGCCAGATGTACCGCAAACAGAGGGCCCGACGGAGAGGCTCTATCAACGTGGCCCAGCAGCGGCGGCGCAAGAGCTGGCTCGGCCAAGGCGAGGAGGAGGTGGACCACCTCATCTTGTTGGCCCTCATGACGGTCATCTTCGTCATTTGCTCTTTGCCCCTCACGGTAAGTACTGTCACAGGGGTCACAGGGGGCAGGGAGGGATAACGGAGAGGGGCTGGTGAGGTGACAGATGCCATCTTGGCTCAATGGAGGCAAATGTCTTGGCTCAATGGTGGCAAATGTCTTGGTTCAATAATGGCAAATGTCTTGGCTCAATGGTGGCAAATGTCTTGGCTCAATAATGGCAAATATCTTGACTCAATGATAGCAAATGTCTTGGCTCAATGGTGGCAAATGTCTTGACTCAATGGTGGCAAATGTCTTGACTCAATAATGGCAAATGTCTTGGCTCAATAATGGCAAAAGTCTTGGTTCAATGGTGGCAAATATCTTGGCTCAATAATGGCAAATGTCTTGACTCAAGGGTGGCAAATGTCTTGGCTCAATGGTGGCAAAAGTCTTGGCTCAATAATGGCAAATGTCTTGACTCAATGGTGGCAAATGTTTTGACTCAATAATGGCAAAAGTCTTGGCTCAATGGTGGCAAATATCTTGGCTCAATAATGGCAAATGTCTTGACTCAATGGTGGCAAATGTCTTGGCTCAATGGTGGCAAAAGTCTTGGCTCAATAATGGCAAATGTCTTGGCTCAATGGTGGCAAATGTTTTGACTCAATAATGGCAAATGTCTTGGCTCAATGGTGGCAAATGTCTTGGCTCAATAATGGCAAATGTCTTGGCTCAATGGTGGCAAATGTCTTGACTCAATGGTGGCAAATGTCTTGGCTCAATCATGGCAAATGTCTTGATTCAATGGAGGCAAATGTCTTGATTCAATGGAGGCAAATGTCTTGGCTCAATGGTGGCAAATGTCTTGACTCAATGGAGGCAAATGTCTTGGCTCAATAATGGCAAATGTCTTGGCTCAATAATGGCAAATGTCTTGGCTCAATGGAGGCAAATGTCTTGGGGACAGGAAGTGACATGATAAGGGTCGGCCAGTTTCGTAACTGAGACAACACAGTTTTCATCTGAGGTGGTCCAGAATCGTGAGCCAATTGGCTCCATCTCAAGACTAGGGAGCCACGCGACTGCTCACCTGTGAGAGTCAAGCATCTCGTGACCTGCCACTGCCCGGGTCTTCCACATGGCCTCAGGTGGCTGTTGCAGGAGGCATTTCCACAGCTGTATCCTGCACCGGGTTTGCGCCGAAGGCCACAACAGCAAACACTGTGCCACATTTTCATCTCCCGCCTGCGTGCGAGTGAGGAGGGTGCACAAGACTGTCCCAGGCTGGGAGCTTTTTGCAACCTGCTTTCTGTAGGGAAAGGACTGTGGCTCAGTGGTTAGAGCAGCTGAAAGTCCCAGGTTCAACCCCCCGGGATTCCTCCAGGCAGGGCTGAGACATGGGGGAGCCTCTGTTGGTCTGTGTAGACAACATTGAGCTACACGGCTCAGTCTTTCTGTGCACGCAGAGACCCCAAGTGACAGAGGGCGTTGTGCAGAAGCTGTCAAAACCAAGCTGGGATCCGTGGTGCGGTTGATGTGGTCCGATCAGCATGTCACAGACTTCCTCGCCCGAGAGATGCACACACACATGAGATTAGACAGTTACGCAGACGGGTCTGCAAATAGTTATTTAACCACGACAGATATCCAGGTCAGGGATGATGTGAGACCAAGCTTCTGATCTGAATTCCAGGGCCCCTGTTGCTGTGCAATAGCTGTCATAAACAAAAATAACGTGACATAAAGGATCTCGGGGTTCAGGGGCAGTCTATCTCTGAATATCAGAGTCTGGAGAGGAACAGCAGAGGAAGCCCATTGTCCTTATGCCTTCCTTGGAAGCCACCTGGGCTCTGCTGGAAACCAAGTTGGGGCTAGGGGCTTCTCTGATGCAGAAAGGTCATTCCAACACACACACACACACACACACACACACACAGAGAGAGAGAGAGAGAGAGAGAGAGAGAGAGAGAGAGAGAGAGAGAGAGAAGTTCCCTTGTTGGGCTTGGGGTGCACAGTCCTTTAAGGGTGCCCTTTACATCTGGCCCTGAGACACACACGACTAGAGAAATGGTGACATTCAGCCTGTATTTCTGCCTTGTTCCTCCTGCTGCTAAAAGGAAGTTTAACTGGGGACAGGAAGAACTATACTGTGGTACCTCAGGTTAAGTACTTAATTCGTTCCGGAGGTCTGTACTTAACCTAAAACTGTTCTTAACCTGAAGCACCAGTTTAGCTAATGGGGCCTCCTGTTGCTGCAGCGCCACCAGAGCACGATTTCTGTTCTCATCCTGAAGCAAAGTGCTTAACCTGAAGCACTATTTCTGGGTTAGCAGAGTCTGTAACCTGAAGCGTATGTAACCCGAGGTACCACTGTAACAGCCTTTGCAGTGCTGTGGCCAGTGGGAGTTGTAGCACAAAACATCTGGAGGGCGCCCGGTGGGGGAAGGCTGATCTATAACATCACCATGCTGGCAGATCTCTGTTCAGCCTGGGAGAAGACGAGACCAGTGTAGAGCTAGCAAGGCAAAATGTTGGGAGCAGAGGAGGAACGTGTGTGCCTTGAGATAAGAGGTTAAGACCTCGCACCCGTTCCCTGCTTTATATTCCATATCTTTCCTGTTCCTTTTCTTCTTCCGTTTCCTGCTGTTTGCCCAATCGAAGAAACGCAACGGACAAGAAAAGCGTAATGGTTCGGTTGTAAAAAAACAGCTAAGCAGCTGAAGCAAAACTGGCTCCATTTCAGAGCATTTCACAGCAGCTTAGGATCAGAAGGCTTTCAAGGCATAGAACTGTAGAGTTGAAAGGGACTCCTGAGGGACATCTAGCCCAACCCGCAGCAATGCAGGAATCACAGCTAAAGAATCCCTGATGATTAACCTCTGCTGGTGGGGGAAAACCTCCAGTGAGAAGAGCTCACCACCTTGTGAGCAGGGGCGGAGGAAGGGGGGTGCGGTGGGGGTGGACCATCCCAGGTGTCACCACTGAGGGGGGTGACAAAATGGCAGGAGGGGCCTGCAGCGCGCTCGATCCATGCGTCTCTCCTGGGAGTGACGCGGTGGCTTGGGGGTCCGCAGGCTCCGTGCTGCCCCAAACGGTCCGCCCACTGCCTCCCCTCAGCTGTAGAGCAGCTGACTGGGAGGAGGCAGGCAGACTCCTCGGAGGCCCCGCCCCCGTGGGCAGCTGGCCCCGCCCCTGGGCGTGGGGCACACCTGCCGTCCCAGACGCCCAATCGGCTTGCTCCGCCGCTGCTTGTGAGGTTTCTGGCAACCAAGCTGTTGTTGTAATAATAATAATAATAATAATAATAATAATAATAATAATAAATGTATTATTTACACCCCGCCCATCTGGCTGAGTTTCCCTAGCCACTCTGGGCGGCTCCCAATCAAATGTTAAAAACAGTACAGCATTAAATATTAAAAACTTCTCTGAACAGGGCTGCCTTCAGATGTCTTTTAAAGATAGGATAGCTGCTTATTTCCTTCACTTCTGAAGGGAGGGTGTTCCACAGGGTGGGCGCCACCACCGAGAAAGCCCTCTGCCTGGTTCCCTGTAACCTCACTTCTCGCAATGAGGGAACCGCCAGAAGGCCCTCGGCGCTGGACCTCAGTGTCCGGGCTGAACAATGGGGGTGGAGACGCTCCTTCAGGTATACAGGACCGAGGCAGAAGAGCGTGAGCCAGCAAAGGAATTGGCTACCCTACACACAGACGCTCACACATAACCTGCCTGTATTAATACAGAAAACCAGAACCAATGATTTCTTCGTTTTCAGCTGGCAGGAGTTGAAGCCTATTGATGGCTCCTAGCTACACGGTTCGAGGCAGAAATGCTTCTGGATCCCAGTTGCTGGGAACCACAGGAGGGAAGAGTTGGTCTTGTGTTCGAATCCTGGTTGCTGGTTCCCCACAGGCCTCTGTGAGAACAGGATCCCGCTCTAGATGGGCCATTGCCCAGATCCAGCAGGCTCTTCTTATGTTCTGAAAGCAAACATCGACCTGCCATTGAGATTCCTACCATGCAAGGGGTTGGGCTGGATGACCTTTGGGTTCCCTTCCAACTATTCTATTACCCTTCAGCCTCATTCTTTCAGGAATGTTTGCTGCAGACATTCTGAAGTTCCCAATTCCCTCCCTGTCACCTTTCTTCTCTAACCAGTCCTCCTAGCAGCGTCCAGAACGGTCCCAGAAATTCTCAGGCTGCATTTCCCAGTTCCCTGCTGCTGCCAGAGGGGAATCCGGCCTCAGACATGTGAATCAGTCCCGGGAAGAGCCCTGCCCTTCTTCCGCATGAGGGACCTGGTGCATGTGTGGGATAGAGTGACGAGGGAATAGTACGGCAGCGTGACTGTTCAGAAACTCTGGAGGGCCAGCAGCTGACGAGGCTGGATTCTGATGAGAAGGGAAGCTTTCATCATTTCCGTTCTTTGATGATGGGGCAATGGCAAAGTTGCAAAAGAAGGGGGGGATGAGGCGTCCTCCCATGCTTTTAAGAGCATCCTGGTCTGCAAAGCTGGGAGATAATTGTTATCAACTGATAATGCCTGCAGGGCCTTAAGGCGCAGGAGCAAGGCTGGGTATGAATAATAATAAGCTGGCAACTAATGAGACTTTTGATCTCAGGGCTGTGGGTTTGAGCCCCACTTTGGGCAAAAGATAACAACAACAACAACAATTTTTATTTATACCCCGCCCTCCCCAGCCAAGGCCGGGCTCAGGGCGGCTAACAAGCAATAATAAAAACAAGTTGAATGAATACAACTTAAAAACAAGATTAAAATACAACATTAAAATATTGAAACATTAAAATGCAGCTTCATCACAGGAGGAGAAAGGAAAAAGAAAGAGTGGGAGGCTCCAAGCCAAAGGCCAGGCGGAACAACTCTGTCTTACAGGCCCTGCGGAAAGAGATCAGATCCTGCAGGGCCCTGGTCTCATGAGACAGAGCGTTCCACCAGGCTGGGGCCAGTGTTGAAAAGGCCCTGGCTCTGGTTGAAGCTAATCTAACTTCCTTAGGGCCCGGGACCTCTAGGGTGTTGCTATTTATGGACCTTA